GTGAAATGGCTGTGTGATGAGGGAGGAATCATTTGTTCCCTCCCTGCTGGCAGCAAACCATCTATGTTGGGGAATGGTCAAGGCCAAATATCTGTGTCTGGAGATGTTTATCACTCAAAAGAAGGGAATTCGGCACATTTTAAATGTCCCTTCTCTGACATCTGAAATTAAGAGGATTCTTGGAAACCTCCCCTCCCCCATTTAAAAAACAAAAATCCTCTTTCTGCCTCATTCTTTATCTCATTCAAATGGACCTTGGCTCAAAGCAGACATCAGAGCCCATCCATCCCCTTGTGTGTGTGGAGCACATACCTCCAAGTGCCCCCAGCCAACATAAAGAGTTGTAAGGGGACTCTAAAGACCAGACCTAAATTCTAAACCAGACACACAGCCCAAACTGCAGAATCCACTGACTCAGATAGAGTGACAGGTCAAGAAACAATGACCTCAAAAAACAAAACAAAACAAAAACATTGACCTCCAGCTTGATTCTTAGGTAACTCTGGATTCGTAGGCACCCAATGGTGGGACCCCCAATTAAGCCTCCCCCTAGGCTCCTGCCCAACCCAGCAGAGGATGGATTGATGTCTCCCCATCAGAGTGGAAAGAGAAGGCAACTGAATTGACTCTCCCCAGGATACATACTTTTCTCTGAGCTTTGAACCAAGATTGCAGTCCTGGAGTACAATTTCCAAAACTCTGGGTGGCCTGGTAGATCCCGCATTTCTTTGATAAGCATGGCCATCTCTCAGCAGGGACCACCTGCCCTCTGCCCCTAATAGCAGCATTTTATTCAGACTCCCACTTGAAAAGAAAAGAAAAAAGGAGAGAGAGAGACAGAAATGAAATTGTCCATAAAATAGCTGTCATTAAGTATCTACAATGTATTGTATGTCATATTCTACTTTATGTACCTGATCTGATCTAATCTAATTATTACAAAAGCCCTATACTAATAATTACTAGTATTGTCCTCATTTTTCAAGAGCAAACTATGGATAAAAAAAATCAAGTAAAATATTTAAAGTTAGAAATCTAAAAAAAACCAGAACAAAACAAAAAATCCCAGCAGAACCAAAACTTGCACCTACAATTGCATGACTCCGAGGAGTACCCATTTCACTTGCTGCCCTGTTCTCTTTCCCTAATCATGCTTCCGGACTGTTTCCTAGTGAGTCAGAGATTCTCATCATCACACCTCAGGACAGATGAAGGGCAGAACCTCAGCAAAGCTGATTATGTCACTGTCTGCAGCAGAAAGCAGTCTGCCTTTTTCTCATCCATTTGCTCAGATAATGTTGAGCTGAAGAGCAAAAACCCAAATAAAAACAAGGGATGCAAACTGAGCAAGCATATCACTAGCTGCGTGACTCTGGGCCGTTACCACTTAACCTCAATCCTTTAAAATGGGAATCGTGATATAAATACAGTGTTCAGTTTTAGGATGATCGAGCAAGGTAAAGCATGTGAAATGCTGAGCATGGGAGTTGTCAGTCCTCACAACTTTTCTTCTTCAGAGGTACAAATTATGTCCAAATGTTCAACATACTATCTTGATGAACTGTGTAGACCAGTGCTTCTGAACTGGAATTACCTGTCTGACACACATATGCGCCACTTTAAGAGATTTTTATTTAGGGGGAGTAAGGTAGAGCTGGATTCTCTTGCTCTCTCTCACTTTCTTATTTCATGAACTGGGGATTGAACCCATAGTTTTCACACTGAGCTATATCTTTAGCCCTTAATTTTTTCTTTTTGTTTTGAGATAGAGTCTAACTAACTCCCTAAATTGCCCAGATTGGGCTTGACTTGCGATTCTCCTGCCTCAGTTTCTTAGTGGTGTTGGGATTACAGGCATGCACTACACCTGGCTTCTATTGTATCTTTACCACATTCTCATGTAATTTTGATACACTGCCAGGTTGGGGGACCCATTTACAAGTGTAAACATCTCAGTTACCTGGCTAGCTTTCCTCCAAGTCCTATTCTCTTTCTTGTCACCCATCTTCTAGGTCATATGCACTGGTTTGCAAGTGCTCTTCCCAAGTTAATGATTTTGCAGTTTAGTAGTGAGCCAGCAGCACTCCCAGTTCCTTGGGGCCTGCCTTTGCAGAGGTCTGGGACCCCAACATGGGATGAAAAGCAGGGCGCTAGGGTTCTGCTCTGCAGTTGCCCTCTTTTGGTTCACTGGTGGCTAACAGCCAGTAGTGCCCAAGCTTCAGTTTTCATATGGTCAACAGACAGTCAAGGAAATCAGAGTTGCTGACCTAAACTCTGCTGGCCTTAGGATTGTGTCCCCGGCACTTGACAACCAGTGTAGGTGGCTGGGAGCTGGGCAGCAGGAGCAGAGGATATGGAAGAATCTTGGTAACTGTGCTTTCCTATTGACGTCTCGTTTTTGGCAATGATAGAGAACAAAATCCAGGTCTTTCTTGGTGTGTAGCATTCTCTCATCTCTGCCCTCGCCTTGTCCCAGTGGCCTTTCATAGCCTTCCTTTTCTGGCTATGCCTTGAATGCCCCAAATTTGTTTCTGCCTCCGTCTTTGCACTCTTGCATGGCTTGCAGTGCTTTTGCCACAGTGATCACAAATGTGCCTCCTTTTCACTCAGGCCTCAGTTTACATGACACCTGCTCCATCATCAAATCTAAATTTGGGGCAGTGAGAGGCATCATCCGATAGCACATCACTTTAATTTTCATCTTAGCATTTACCAGTATAGGGTATATTTTCCTTGTTTATTTACATGACACGTTGCCTGCTATCCTTCTATAAACTCTGAGAAAGCACAACGCTGACTGTTCGTCTTGTTTTATTTTGTTATTTGTTATTTGGTGCTTTTTTTTTTTCCATTTGGTTTTTGCTTGTTTGCTCATTTTGAAACACAGTCTTGCTCTGTAGTTCGGGTTGGGCTTGAACTTGAGGTGGTCCTCCTACCTCAGCCTCCTGAGGTTTTCGATATATTGTTATGTTCCCATTGCCTAAAAAGTGGCCAGGAATTCTGAAATAAATGAGCTGTCAAGAGGTTGCCCCAGCAAGAGTAGTGACTTATTTTGGCCACAGGATAGTTAAGGTCTGAGAAGAGAAGTGACTATCCCAAATATAATTCAAGTCTTTTGTGTCTTTTTATTTCTTTTCCAGGCCCTTCCTGTAAAACCTGGCTGACACACAAACCTAGCTGAGGTGAGGCTCCCAGGTGTGATGAAAACTTGGAGTTGCCCCATGAAAGAGGCTAGGGCTCATGAATGAGGCTAGGGCTGATGTGGGGGTGAAGAGACAGGAGGGCAGAGCATGGGAAGAGAAAGCAGGCTGGGACAGGAGAGCAGGGTGTGAACAAGGGGTGGGGGGGGAAGTAGGTGATTTGGTCATGTGTCAGGAGGTGTCTTCCTCCGCCCTCCCCTGGAGAGGACTCTGACCCATAGATGGCTTTGCTTTTTGGGAAGTAGGTGGTCAGGCAGCTGCTGAGAGAGGATGAAGGTGTGGCCTGGGCGGTGACCACTAGATGAAGTTCTAGGCCCGATACCGATTACCCAAAGGAATATTTCCACAGTGGCTAAGGGCCAAATAGGTGACAGGTGAGCTTCCGTCTGAAACCAGCCCAACTGCAGTATGGCACAGAGCTTCACAGGCATGGCCCAGAGAGCTGGGAAAGGGATCTCCAAGGAAACAGAGTGGTCAAGGTTGAATGCTTAGTGACAACAACAACAATAATAACAATAACATATCACATTTATTGTGAGCTTATAATATATTCTGCCTTATAAGCGTTCCTTCACTCAATCCTCAAAAGTCTCTCTACAAAGAAGTCATTATTATCACTATTTTCCCATTTAAGAGATGTGGAGAGATTCAATAAGATTGACTGTCCTGTCCTAGGATTAGACAGTAAGTAGCAACAGCAAGATTCAAACCCAAGTCTGTAGTGATTCCGATGTGCTATGGAAACCTATGCCTGGGAAAGGGTGCTGGGGTACTCAAGAGGGCAGAGCCAGACTGACCCTTGTAAAGGTGGGGGTGGGGAGAAAGAGTAGGATAGAATGTGTATAAATAGCGGGCCTGTTTTTATCCCTACACACCGCGGAACCGGGCAAGTACTCTAGCTGGCACACACTTTGAGGGCTCTGAATGCCAACCAGCCCTATGTCAAACAACTCTCTCTCTAGCATGTCCCTAAGCTGAAATACTAACAGAGAGTCAGTTTTGTGAGTCGGGACATTGACTCCAGAAGCCTCTTGTAAAAATACATAGTTTGAAAGAAATACATCAACCTGTTGAACAATACAGATTGGTCAGCTGTTTCCCAATGGGAGAGGGTACTTTTTTTTTTTTTTTTTTTTATGTTGGGGAAGAAAATAAGAACAAGTATGAGACTTATTTGGAATCTGTCTCTCCCATCTTAGAAGCCGAAGAATTACAATTCGCAGTTCAAATATCCTGAAGCAGGCTAGGGAGGAAATCCACTCCCGCGTTTGAGAGAATGCTAACTTTCTTTGCTTTCGCTGGCTTGACACCAAGTGCCTGCAACTCAACTCTGTGGTCATCTCTGGTTATAGAATACCAGACCTGCTGGCATTCCTGTGCATAATGTTTAAACGGTCAACAAATTGTTTACTATTTTCTGTGCTGACAGGGAAAACTATGGGCTTATGAACTCAGAAGACGACACAAGTGGAAAGCCCCAGTATGGAGCAGATCTGGGCCAAAGAACCAGGCCCGTAACAGAGCGCTTAGCACAGCAGTCACAAAGCGACAGGGTTGGGGGAAAGGTAGGAACAGTTCCCCGCCACCTGCTGGTCAGTAGCCCTGCCCACAGTCAGAACGCGGCTGCCCTGGCCTGGTACCAAAAGAATGTGAGCGCCGCGGGGTTCTCCCGCCCCCTCCGCGCCGCGCCCGCCGAGTCGGGCTGCGAGGCAGGCGCCGCGAGCCGGGCGAGCTTCCCGGCGCGGGAGGGGGGAGAGGCGGGGCGGCGCGGGGCGGGGCGGAGCTCCGGCGCCTCCGGGAGCCTTATTCCCGGCCTCTCGCTGGGAGCGCTCAGTCGATCCCGGAGCCGCGCGCCTCCCGCGGTTGATTGGTCTGACCGGGGTGCTGGGGCTCGGGCGGACGTGTGAACCTTCAGACAGCAGACAGACGCCCGGCGGCCACGAGCTGCGCGCAGGTCCCAGCCAGGCTTGTACCCAGAAGCGGGCAGCAGACCGTGCCCGGCGGAATCTCCTGTGCGCTTGCCGCCTGGCTCCGCTTACCCGCGCCCAGCAGCCACCGCCTCCCAAGTGATCGCTGCCTCGCCGTCTCCTGCGGGTCCGGGACCATGAAGCTGCTGCCGTCGGTACTGCTGAAGCTTTTTCTAGCTGCAGGTAACAGAGCTGTTGACGCCCTCAGAGGTCGGGGGCGGGGGATGGGGGCGCCTTGCTGGGGGCATGGGAAAGGTTGCTGCAGCGCCCCCGGCGCGCGCCACTTGGTGGGGCCCGTGCGCACTGGCGAGCAGGCATCCACATCAGTGCGTGGTGGCTCGAGATCTAGGCTGAGGGTCTGATGTGGCCTTTCCCCTCAAACGCAGTACTCTCGGCGTTGGTGACTGGTGAGGGCGTGGAGAGATTTCGGAGAGGGCTAGCGGCTGCAACCAGAAACCCAAACCCTCCCGCTGGATCTGCGGACCAGCTGCGACCCACGGAAGGTGACCGTGCCCAGGAAGTCCTGGACTTGGAAGGGTCACATCTGAATCTGTACAAAGGTGAGTGCTAGGATCCCCCCATGCTTAGTCCACAATAAGCAACTGAAGAATAAGCAGATCTGAAATTCATATTCTTGGGCCCCCTGTGGGTTGACGGATATTCTTGGAAGACCTTAAGGAAAAGCTGATAGACTGATGGGGGGTGGAAGATCTTGAAATATAGGTCTAGCTCTCTTTCTTGTTCTTGGATCTCACCTGCCGGGTTGCTATCCTTGTGGATATTTTGAAACAGATTGAAACAGGCAATCCTTGTCCTCTGAGGTAAGCTGGGTGGTGGAATAAAGCATAGCTGGGATGCTTTCTCTAGGATTCTTATGTGAAAATCGGTGCAAGTCCTACTTCCTGTATCCAGTGACTATTAAGTACAAAATAGAGAGAACAGATGTGGAGATGTCCAGACACATAGCAAATGTGCAGTGTTAGTGCCCTCCACACATCTGTCTCCCAAGTTGGGGAAATGGGATGAGGAACTCTTACTCCCTATGAGAGAACAGCACCTCTAAAGAAGGCTATGAATGGTGAGCTCTGGGGTCCTATTGAAATGTAGCCTGAGTATTACTCAGGGGCTCTATTGAAATGTAGCCTATCTGAGTATTACTCAAAGCCTGGAGATTTCTTTGCATCCCCGAGAAGACTGGGGGGGGGGGGCCCTTGAGTCCCTCTAACCAGCATATGTTCCTGTAGCTGGGCAAAGGCATAGGGCAGTTACTTAGGGCCTGCTGGAGTCCCTGCCCCGGCTACCTGCAGTGATTCTCAGGGGTGGAGCAGAACTAAGCCCTGTGGGCCAGGAATGACTATATTTGGTTGGAAAGATATCCACCTGTTCTAGCTCCACCTCCTGCTCTGCTTCCTTTCTCCCTCCTAAGTGGGAGCTTCCCTAAGGTGCTTTCTCAGCTTTGTATAAATTAAGGTCTGCTCCAAAGCTGAGCTCGAGCTCCCACGCTTCATCTTCTGCCAGTGATTTTTGGGATCTCCAGTGCCCTGAAAAACCTAGATTTTCCTGGCTTTCTTCTCTTAGGCTGGCCAGGGCTGGGCAGAGTTGTGACTCACTCCCCACCCACATGGCTGCTCCTCATACCTCTGTGGACCTGACTCACTGCTCCCCCTTGAAGGAACCTGGCTGTCATCCTGCCAATTTCTCCCTCCTTTTTCTGATTCTGATTGACTTGGCCCTCTTGCCTTGCTTTTCCTGTTCACTGGGTTCCTCTGACTACCTGCCTCAGCCTCTGAGCTCTAAAAGGAACAGGGACTAGACTAGGGACCACCAACCTAATCTCAGTCCTGCATAATCCTGGGCAAGTCATTGCCTTTCCCAAACTCAAGGGTTTCATCTTGAAAATGGAAGAGGAAAAAAAAGAAGAAAGGCCATGATGTTTGTTGAAATCACTTCCAGCATGATAATTCTAGGTCTCCAGTCCAATGTATTACTTATGCTCAGCCTTTCATCAGATACAGGCTGTAGCTATGGACTTGGCAGCTCTTTATTATTGGGGGAAAGGTGGTAAAGAGGTTGGCGTCAGATCCCAGGACTAATGGGCATAATCTATGATCAGTTCCAGATGCATGTCTGGGTAAGATTGTTTTTTCCTTGAGCCTCTAAAGCTTGGAAAGAAGGGAACCATTATCATAGGTCCAGCTCCTTCTAGGTGATTCCTTACTTTTCCTCTCTATCCCTTGTATATATTGTATTCCTTATCCCAGAAAGCCATAGCCAGGACATTTGGGGATAAATGTAAATGAATCTTAGAGAAAATTGGTAAATTATAAAGTACATAAAGCAGGGTAAATATTTTATTTGAAGTTGGAAAAGCAAAACCCTTTACCAGGGATAGCCAGATGTTTTGGAGTCACGGTCTGTCTTGAACTTGTGGTTCCCTGACACAATGGGAACCACAGTACTAATGGGAACCCAGAGGAGGGTACTTGAAGACATAAACATTCTTATGTTAGCATCCTTCCACCCCAAAATATCCTGGTGCCTTTTGCAAAACCAATTTTTATCTGTGATTCTATCTTCCTGCAAGTGGGTCATTGCATGCAGCATCAGGAAATGATGCTGATTGAAGGCCAAAATAGGATTAAGTTGATGTGGGGGACTTCATAGAATGAAGAAGTTGGAGTAGGAGCTGAGTAGTGGGGCAAGGATGAGATTGGTAATCCAAGCTGTAGTTACTCAAGCATTCTTAGAATGAGATTTTTTTTGTTTTTGTTCTTGTTTTTTGTTTTGTTTTTTGAGACACAGTCTTGCTCTGCAGTTCAAGCTAGTTTTGAGCTCACTTTGTAGCCCAGACTGGCCTCAAACTCTCAGCAGTATTCCTGTCTCAGCCTCCCAAGTGCTGGGATTAAGTGTGCACTACCATGCCTGGTTTGGAATGAAGTTCTTAAACCTTCCTTAGCTTCAGAGTTCTGACAGTTTTGCCCATTCTTTTTTTAGTCCTTGGAGGCTCTGGGCCAAGGCACCTTTGCACAATTCTGACCTCATTCAGGCAGGGTCAAAGGGTATATATGGGGCTGGGGATTTAGCTCAGCGGCATAAGCGCCTGCCTTGCAAGCAGGCAGTCGTGAGTTCGATCCCTGGTACCGATAAAAAACAAAAAAGACAAAAAAAAAAATTAAAAAAAAAAAAAAAAAAACAAAGGGTATATAGTCCTTCCAAAGACCATACTGGATGGATCTTCCCTTGAGAGGTCAAAAGCTTAACAGGTGCCTTTCTCCTGCAGTTGATTTCTCCTCTAAACCACAAGCTCTGGCCACACCAAGCAAAGAAGAGCATGGGAAAAGAAAGAAGAAAGGCAAGGGGTTAGGGAAGAAGAGAGACCCATGTCTTCGGAAATACAAGGACTTCTGCATTCATGGAGAATGCAAATATCTGAAGGAGTTCCGGGCTCCATCATGCGTGTAAGTGACCCTTTGTAGGATGGAATCTCGTCAGCATGCTCGTCAGCCACATGATTGTTCCTCAACCTCTTGGGGGAAGTTGGGAGGAAGGGAAGTATTTTTAGTCAACGGAAGGCTCCAGCACCACCAAAGAGGATGCAATTTCCTGTGGTATGGGGTTGTGACGCTCTTTAATCCTTGAGGACATTTCCTGCTTACCCAGAAATAAGCGTGTGGCTAGGAAAGCTGACACCTGGAAGCAGGACCTTCATTCCTGCCTCATGTCCTACTGCAGAGGGAGACACTGGTAGGAAACATAACACACCAGGTTCCTGGGTGGAGTGGTGCTCCTGCAGGCAGGTGTAAAGTATATTTGGTCACATGTGCAGATGAGTGAATACTTGTGTGTGTGTGTGCACAAGAGTGAGCAATGTGGGTTGCTTTTAAGACATGTCAGGACCGTATAGAGAGGAATCGTCATGGGGCAAAGTGAAAGCCTTCCTCCCTTCTGTCTCACCCCACAAGGGCCAAGTGGTGGGACATGGAAGGTATTGGCTTTTGGCCATGTCACTGGGAGAACACGTCCTTTGTGCAGGATTAGAAGGAAATGGAAGACTTTATGTCAGCTTCCTGGGCAGATTTTCATGGGCTAAACCCAAACTGGCATCAGCCCTCAGTCAGGCAGCATCACTCCTTCCCTGGGTGGGAGTGTGGGTGGGGGGGGTCATGGGTTCCTCAGCCTCTCCTAGGCCAAGCCCAGCAAGTGGCTGCCTTGGCAGTCCCTCAGGGATGACAGCACTGCCATGCTGCCTGGTAGGCATAATGTCACCACTGTGCCTAAGGCCAACTTCTCACGTCAGGCTGCAAACATCCTCTCTTTCTTGCAGACAGGCAGAGTCTAGGGCACTTGTAACCTATACACTCTGGAAAGTTGAGGACGCTCACTATCCTATCCAGAAGGCTAGCTGCCCTGCATCTCTTCTAAATACTTTATTTTGAGATAGGATCTCATTAAGTTGTGATTTTGAGCTTATGATCTTCCTGCCTCTAGCTCCTGAGAGGCTGAGGTTGTAAGTAAGTGTGACCAGTCACAAATACCAGCGTTACCTTATATTTGGCAGTTGGCAGGCAGACTTATCTCCCTACCATGCCCATAGTCAATCTGTCTTTTCCTATGACATCTTTCTCAGAAACTTGGTATTGGAAGTTGTTTAAGAGCAGCGTAGAAGCCAAGCATGGTGACATGTACTACTGGATTCCTCAGAGAAGGAGGACTGTATTAAGTACATTCCAAGCACCCCAGGGTAGGAATGAGATTTCATGTCTTGCCCCAAGCCAGTATCCATCAAATCAGGCCTCAGTGGGAGGATCACTTGATCCTGAGAGTTTAAGGCCAGTTTGGGCAATATAATGAGACTCTGTCTGAAAAAAAAAAAAGACACAGAAAGTCCCCATATCATCCCTCCGAATGTCTTAGGATAGAGCAGGAAATGTTTATCTTAAATTTGTAAAATGGCATCATTAGCACAGAGTGGAGTAAGTTACTCTGAGTGTGGTCAAGATAGAGTGAGACCGGGCTGGGGATTTAGCTCAGCGGCATAAACGCCTGCCTTGCAAGCAGGCAGTCGTGAGTTCGATCCCCGGTACCGATAAAAAGAAAAAAGAAAAAAAAATATAGAGTGAGACCAGGAACTTGTCAGGGCCAAATTGGATGTAGGGCTTCTGCTGTTTGGCTGAGAAGCCTTGTAAGCTGCTTTCCTGAAGAGTGGGGTTTAACTGACCACCTAAACTCAGAGAACCTGGTAAATGTCCCCAGGGCTGCCTCTCCAGTCCTAGGGATAGCGATAGTGATCATCATGATGCCATCTCTCCTTTACCTCACAGTTTCAGTGTTTACTTTTAAGGTTCTAGTAGGATTTTATAAAGAGCAGTTGTTCTAGAGGACATTTTACTAGCCTAAGAGCATAGCAATCTGACTTGAAGTCTTTATGTCAGGTTCCTGGAAAGATTTTCATGGGCTGGACCAGGACTTTTTTGTCTAGTCTAACTGCCCTCTATCTCTAGCCCTTTGTATTCAGGGCATAAAGCAGCAAGAAGATACAGAACTCCTGGTTTGGGGCAATATGACATCTGTATACCTACATCTGAGACACTTTGTGGCTCCTTCTTGCTCTAGACCCTGGAACTGCCAAGCAGGGTGTGTCCAAGCTGCAGTGGTGAGCTTGTGACTAGTTTACTTCCTAAACCAGCTCTGTGCAACCACCATGAACCGGAAAACCTTTCTGCGTCAGCAGCCAAAAGTTACCCACAAAGAGTAGCTTCCTGGGGCTCTTAACTGGCTGCTGACCCAATAATTGACTGCAGAGTTTCCTGTGGCTGGAGGAAACCTGAGGGCCATTGGCATGGGGAGGACCCAGTGCTAGGAGAGAAACAGATGGCATATGCCAAGAAGCAATGGCCAGCCCCATTCTTTTGGCTCCACCTGACTTGGGTGCCTCATTCTTGGGATGTGGGCAGTACCTTCTGCAGTTGGATGGTAGAATGGCCTATACATATGGGAAACCTGGCCTTTACAACATACTTTCACCCATAAATATCTTCTTTGATCTTTTCATGATATTCTTATGAGTTGGGCATTTATTGTTTCTGTGTTTTACATAAGGAAATGAAAGCACAGAAAGGTAACGTGACTTGCCCAAAATTGCCTGGCTAGAAATAGTAGCAGAAGCGGTCTGAAACTCATGTATTCTATGTCTTCTCCATTACATGGTGTCCCCTTTACCTCCCCAGTAGAGGTAGAGAAATCTTGTGTAGAAGACATGTCTGGGCCTTAGAGCATTCTTGTGTCTGTTGTCATACAAGTTCTGAAATGGGTCACAGATATAGAGAGGAGGAACGTGTCCTACTTTGATGGATGCTGACTCTGGGCAAGACACACGATCTCATCCCCACCCTGGGATGCTTGGAATGTACGCAACTCCCTCCTTCCCTGGGGAAGCCAGGAGTTAGCTGCAAAGGGAGGGGAAGGTAGGTAATATTAGGATGTTTACATTATTATCCTTTTGACTCAGGGTGGAGGTGCAGGGATTATGTAACTGAATTTCGGGACTCTGAGACCAAGTTTTATTTCTGTCATCTGAGTAACTACCTGTGGGGCTTGAATGATGGGCTTGAAATGTAAAACTGGTTCAACTTCAGCTCTTCTCTCTATAGTCAGTCTCTAAAGTCATCCAGAGTGCTATGTTGAATCCCAGGCAGGGAAGTGAAACCTCAGCTACTTCATCTTTAAAATGAGAATAGGGCCAGGTATGGTGACACATGCCTGTAAATCTGAGCACTCAGGAGGCTGAGGCAGGAGGAGCACTGCAAATTAGAGGCTGGCCTGGGCTACAAAGTGAGCTCAAGGCCAACCTGGACTTCATGGTGAAATCCTGTCTCAAAAAGACCTAAATAAATAAATACATACATATATACATAAATAAATGGAATAACTGGCTGGGCATGGTGGTGTATGCCTGTAATCCCAGCACTTGGGCAGCCAACACAGGAGGATCACTGAGTGAGAACTTGTCTCAAAAAAACCAAAAAATACATAAAATGAAATGGGTATAGTAACTTCTGCTTCACAGAGATGATTTTGAGATTTATGAAATCATGAGGCCCTGGGCTCAACACCCACACCAAAACAAATAAGTGAGATTAAATGAACTAGTTCTTGTAAAGCAGTTAGCTTGGACTGCTTGACTCATAATAAGCCTTCAATGTTTGCTGTTTATTATTAAAGCTTTTTATTATTATCATGTATTATGAATACATGATAATAGTAATAATAATAACAATGCAGTCAGAGAGCAAGACCTGAAAGCTTCAGGAACCTATTAGGTGATTGGAATCTGCTAAGAGTGGATTCACATATCTGCCCTGCTGCTTCTTAGTTGTAAAGCTTGGCAAATCACTTAATTTCTCTTATCCCTAATCCTTGGGCACAAGTGACTTCCCAGGGACACTCCTAGGAATTTCCTCCATATCTGAGCAGGTTAGGGGTCATCTTTCTGGTACCCAGACTGATAGGACAGATGCATGGGAGGGTAGACAAGGCACTGTGTACTATCCCGTGTGGCAGAGGGCCTGGTCTACATTTATTCTGCAGTGAAGCAGTCCCTTAGAGCACCCAGGAGAGGCAGGGTAGGGAGAGACAGGGACAGAGACCCCTCTGCCACTGCCAGGTCTGGACAGGTCTGTTCCTTGTAACATCCCTGGCACCATGCTAGCAGGAAGGACTTCCTTGCCATGAAGCAGCAGGTGCACAGTTTCTTCCACAGAAAAGGTTTGGTTCAGAAGAGAGGTCACTAAGTTGTCAGAGCTTCTTCCTCCAGCAGCTAGTGGCCTGTGTCTTCAGGCTGATGGCGTTACCACCTGCTGTGGCTGGCGGGTGGGTTTGTGGATGTGAGTGGGCAGCAGGCTGATCTCAGGGTCAGACAATCTTCATCCATGCTTCTGTCCTGTTGTGTGACCTTGGGAAGCCACTCAACCTTTCTATAGAGTGGGACTGCCACCTACATCAAAGGGTCTCTGGCGTGTTTAGATAAAAAGAAGGATGTGAATATGCTTCTTCAGCTTGGAGTCTTTCTAAGAGCTGCAAGGAAATGCTTTGTGTTAGAAGAGGCAGTTGCCTCATGGTTTGATTCTTGAGTGACAAGAGCCAAAAGATTGTTTCTGACATTCTTTTACGCTCTGACAAGGCAACTGGGCAGGAAGATGTTATCTTGGTTTGTTTGCTTTATCCTGTGATGAAGGAGGTTTGATAGCCCAGCTTCCAGCAGCTACGAGGTTGGTCCTCACACCAAGGGTGAACCGAGAGTTAAGTGAAAGAAATTTGAGAAAAAGGACTCCTGGCAAAGGAACAGGGCCTATTAATAGGGCAGTGGTAGGGAGTGACTGGATGCTGGAGGCATTGATGGGCAAGGCTGGGTTTATTTCTGGGTCAGAATGTTGAGGGGCCTCACTAGAGGGAGTGATACTGAATCCCCTAAACTCAACCCACCCAGCCCTTGTGCCCAAGTCCTCTTCAGTGTTTCAAACAGAACGCCTTGGCACATACACGGTAAATCAGCCACACACGGTCTGTGTCTATATGCCGACCTTCAAGTGCTCCCTCGCTTTTTCCCTCCACCGGGAGCAGGACTCTGGGGCCTGCGAGCTAGAAGGAATGGTGAAGAGGGGTGGTTACTGAGTGAGGGAAAGAAGCTGTGGAGCATTCAAAGGAGGTGACGAATAGGGTTTGGTTTATGTAGCTGGGTCTTTGCAGGGTGGGGGCAGGAAGGGAGAGGGAGAGAGAAGAGAGACAAGAGATGAGAGAGCAAACCATGGACCCTGTTTCTTTTTTCTGTCTTCAACTAGCTGCCACCCAGGTTACCATGGAGAGAGGTGCCATGGACTGAGCCTCCCGGTGGAGAATCGCTTATATACGTATGATCACACCACTATCCTGGCCGTAGTGGCTGTGGTGCTGTCGTCTGTCTGTCTGCTTGTCATCGTTGGACTTCTCATGTTTAGGTGAGTGTTGGGGGGCCCCTGGTGGCTATTTCTGCAAATCATTCCCCTTCCTCCTTCTCCTGGATCTTCCAAAGTCTTTGAAATTGTGTTCCAAGACATCACACGAACCCCTTTCTCATGCTCCCACTTCTGGAGCTTGTTCCTGGGTGTAGCTTCTCCACAAACGTAGCATCTCTGGCATGACACAAGTCCAGTATCTAGAGCCCAAAGAACCCTTGCAGGGCTAGCACAGTGATGGCAGTGACCCTTTTAGAGATGAGTGCCCAAACTGCAACTCAAACCCAAAGTGCCAACACTGCAATTAAACCTGAATAATACTAAGCTTTTAGTTTAGAAAAAACAGTGCATACATTAACATCTTTTGTCTTAAAAGAAAAACAAATAGCACACATTCATTAGGTTTGCTACCACTGCCATAGAAGATTCTGCCCCTCACATTTGTGGCGTCACCTCTTCATACATTTCTCTCGCCTGGCTCTGTTCTTTGATGGCGTTAATGTATGGTTGATCAATGAAGCCATGGTGGCACTATTGGTATATTCTTTTGATTGTGAGGCTTTTGGAACTCCTGTCCAGGTATGTCCTGGGTTGGGAAGAACTATTATGCAACCTATGTCTGTTTTCAAGCAATTTTACTCAGTGAGGGAAACCCAAAACAATTTACCTGTCTTTCTGAGAAATATAACCTGTCAGTGATTGGACACTCTGTCCCTTTGCCTCATAGGATGTCACGATGATCAAATTCATGATGTAAAAGCTGTTTATGATGGGCATGGTGATGCACACCTGAAATCTCAGCATTTGGGAGGCTAAGCCAGGAAGATCATGTCAAGTTCAAGGCCAGTCTGGATGACATAGTGAGACCCTGTCTCAAAAAACAAAACAAACAAAGATAGCTTAATATTAGATTCATACATTTCTCAGGGAAGCTGAAGTCTTTGTCATTCCCTTTGGCTTTTCCATGTAATGACGGGAGCCATCTTGGCAGAGTTCTTTGGAAAGACCTGTTCCAGGCCCTCTACTTTATCTTCGCAGCAGGGCTTGCTCACAAAACTTCTCTTTCTCAGGTACCATAGGAGAGGAGGTTATGATGTGGAAAATGAAGAGAAAGTGAAGTTGGGCATGACTAATTCCCACTGAGAAAGACCTTTGCTCAAGGTAATGGTTCATCCTTTGCCCCCTGGTAACACCAAGGGGCCAAGGCATGAGTGGATCTTGGATCTCTTTCAATGAATGCTGAATTCTGCCCTTACCACTGGGCTGAGAGTAGGCGGCCAATTGCAGAGTTATTTTCAAAAACAGTGCGGGTGTATCATATCCAGTTAGGGTGAAAGCTGTTAGATACCTGAGAGGACAGCTTCTTCTGTGGTTAGCTCATTGTTCTCCCTCCTTTTTCTAGATAATCTTTCCACTTCTTAAGAGTGAACTCAGAAGCACCTAAGACTCCTTAAACTGGACCCAGTTTTACATGCTTTCCTCTTATGCTTTAGGAATCAGCGGAGGACAGCTACCTCTGAGAAGGCGCAGGTTGCTTGCCACCTCTGTAGAAGGAAAGGACTTCACAAGTAGCCACGAAGACTTCTTCACCTCCAGTGAATCTTGATTGGGCCTCCCATAATTGCTTTGCCAAAATACCAGAACCTTCAAGTGCCAAACAGAATATGTCCAATGGGATCTGGATCCAAGGAAGGTGAAAGTGGGAGGGGATCTTCAGGACCTCCTGATTTTCTCCCACCAAACCTATTCCTCCATCAATTTAAAAAAATATTTAAATACTTACCTTCTGGATTAAAATACCAGTTAAATTCCATATGCGCTTTGCCTAAAAATGCAAAAGGAAGAGAGAAAAAAGAAGGAAAGATTTGTGGACTGGAAGAAAGCAACAAAGGCTGAGAAGCCACGTACTCATGTAGCCACCAAGGGATCTGTTACTTGGACCCTCCAGCGCTGGATTTGATGAGCTAACTGTGAAATACCACAAGCCTGAGAACTCTGAATTTTGGGACTTCTACCAAGATGAAAAAAATAACAACTATTTTTTGTTGTTGTTTGTTTGTTTGTAAAATGCCTCTTAAATTATATATTTATTTTATTCTATGTATGTTAATTTATTTAGTTTTTAACAATCTAACAATAATATTTCAAGTGCCTAGACTGTTACTTTGGTGATATACTGGCCTCCCTCACATCCCCATCATCTGGCTCAATGCCACACTCCCCTGTGGCAAATCTGAGAGGGTTCTGTGACCCATTTATTTCTGAAGATCCCCCAGGATCAGAGTCCCCCAGGGAGAGTTCTGATGGTTGGGATGTAGGAGTTAACTTGGTCAGAGCCACTCTATGAGTTGGACTGCAGTCTTGCCTAGGCAATTTTGTCTACCATTTGTGTTTTTAAAGCCAAAGGTGCTGATGTCACAGTCTAACAGATATCAGTGTTTCCCTGTGTCTTCTCCCTGCCAAATCTCAGAAGAGGTTGGGCATCCATGCCTGTAGCTTTTCTGATACCCCCTTCCCCACCCACCCACAGAGTGGGTGCCCATTCTCCCTTGTGTCAAGACATTTCTCTCACTCCTGCCATTCTTCTGGTGCTACTCCGTGCAGGGGTCAGTGCAGCAGAGGACAGTCTGGAGAAGGTGTTAGCACAGAAAATTGCTGAGGAGGAAGAGGGAGTTAACTGTTCGTGATAGTTGGTTAATTCCCAATTGCTAAGGAAAAAATTAGAAGTGGGGGGAACTTGTGGGTAACCCCACCCCATCACCAAAACTACCAAGGAATGTTGTCACGATCTTTTCTGGAAGTTTTTGGTACCATTTTTGAACTGTTACAACCTGTATTTCCAAACCTGGTTCATATTTATACTTTGCAATCCAAATAAAGATAACCCTTTCTCCATGGTCTGCTTGTTTTATAATTAATTAATTAATTAATTTTTTGAGACATTGTCTTACTGTGTAGTCCAGGCTGGTGTGGACTCATTGTGTAGGCCAGGCTGACCTCAAATTTGCAGTGATCCTCCTGCCTCAGCCTCCTGAGTGCTGGAATTATAGGCAGTGCCACCATGCCCAGTTAATAGTCTGCTTGTTTTTTAACTGGGAACTGGTTTAAGATGGCTCTTTCCTACGCCCTCTCTGTATCAGGCACGTTTATGTATACTACCTTAATATTCCAGATAACTCTGTAATGAAGATACTGTATTTTTCCAGAAGTGGAAATTGAATTTTGAGCAAATACAACCACCTGAGGATACACAATATTCCCAACAATACACAGTAACACAGGATACGCAGCATGAAGATACACTGTAACTCTAGTAATTTTGTCTTAATATGTAACACCTTATTACCTCTAAGATAAAAAAGAATAGACCTTTGAAAGTTTGGTGGGCTGTAACCAACAAAGACACACTCATTCAGTCAACAGGCCCTGGAATCAAGATCTAGTCCTATGCTGTGTACATGTGAACAGGTATCATTCCCTGTCCATGGATTGTCCATGGATGGATTGTTCATTAGTCAGTCCATCAACAAATCTTGTCAGTTGTATCATTAGAACACATGCATACACTCATTTTCCCTGCTGCTGCTGTCACCTAGTCCAGTGCAACATACCTCACATCTGGACTCCTGACAGCCTCCTATCTTCCTAGTTGCACCTTGCTCCATATAGCCAGAGGGAAAGTTTAAAACATGGTTTGTATGATGAATAGCTCAGTGATAGACTTGCATACTTAGCATACAAGAGGTCCTGAATTTGATCTCTAGCATCATACACACAAAAATATAATTCAAGTCTTCTTTGTTTGACAGGCCTTCCCTCACCACAACATTATACAACATTACAGTCTGCCCTCACCCCATTCTTAGTCTGAGTGCTTTACATTTCCCTTTAGCTCTAATCACCAGTAACATATTCCTATTTATTTTTTGTCCATCTGCTCCTGCCAGAATGTTAGCTGCATAAGGACAGGGGTTCATTGCTCTAGTCCCAGATTCTCCTTTTTCTCCTTTTCTTTTCCTATTCCTTCTCTTTCTCTTCCTCTTCCTTTTCCTTGTACTTCTCTTCCTCCTCCTCCTTCTTCTCCTTCTACTCCTCTTTCTCTTTTTGTGGTTATTTGTTTATTTGTTGTTTTTTTGAGACAGAGTCTCACAATATAGTTCAGACTGCCCTTGAACTCACTATATACACCAGGCTGACCTCAAACTCATGGCAATCCCTCCTCAGTCTCCTGAGTGCTGAGATTGCAGGCAAGTGCCTCTATACCCAGTTCCAGATTCTTTTTTTTTTTTTTTTGCAGTATGGGAGATCAAACTCCTGACCTCATGCTTGCCATGTAGGCCCTTATGCCACTGAGCTAAATCCCCAGCCCGAGTTCCAGATTCTTTTTTTTTTTATTCTTTTTTTTTTTGTCTTTTTCCTTTTTATCGGTACCAGGGATTGAACTCACGACTGCCTGCTTGCAAGGCAGGCACTTATGCCGCTAAGCTAAATCCCCAGCCCCGAGTTCCAGATTCTTAAACAATAGAATTGAGTTGGGCATTCAATATTTATGAAATGAATATAAGAATTCAAATTCAACCCAAGCATAATGGCACATGCCTGTGATCCCAGCACATGGGAGATTGAGGCAAGAGGATTGCTTCAAGTTCAAAGCCGCCTGGGATACATAGTGAATTCAAGGCCAGGCAAACTGCCTAACGAGACCCTGTCTCAAAAAAACAAAAACCAGTACCCCCCCCCACACACACACACAAATTAAAATTCTATTCAGGTGGGCAAGTGGGCAAATGCAAATGGTTGGGATTATAGAGAGGCTTTTGTTGGGGAGGGTGGACTGTATAACAAAATCACAGTGGAAACTGGGCCTTATCACATGACTTGGTGTGCTGGGTGTACTGGAGGTCATGAGAGCCTTTGGGAGGACATTGGACAAGAGCCTCTGGGCTGTCCCCTCCTCATCATCCTCTTCCTCTTTTCTTGGAGAGGTTACAACACTCTAAAGTTTCTTTAGGAGCCCACACAGACATTGTGGATGTCTTCTAATTATCCTCTTAAAACTTTGGGTGTCAGTAACTACCAAAACTGAGCATATGAATACCCTATAACCATTTAGTTGCACTCCTGCACATACACACAAAAGAAATACCTTTGTTGCCAAAAGACATATGTAAGAGTGACCTTGGCATTACTAATATTGACTAAAAATTGGAAACTATCCAAATACCCACCAGTACTTGATTATGAAATGAATAAACCGTTATATCGAAACAATGAAGTATTAAATAGCAATATAGATGAATCTCAAAATATTTCTGAGTGAAAGAAGCCAGCCAAAAATGAGTCCTTTTTGTGTGAGTCCATTTATATAAAACTTAAAGGCAGGCAAAATTAATCTATGGTGAAAGAAGCAGCAAGGAGATCACTGTTGGGATTGGTGATGACTGGAAATACGCAGAGGTGGAACTTTTGGTATACTGATAATTTTGCCATGCTCTGGCTGCTGGTTACACAGGTACATTCACTTTGAGAAAATTCACCGGGCATGATTTGTACATTTTTCTGTGTTATGCAATGCATATAATAATAAGATTTTTAAAAACTTGAATAGGGATCTTTGCTATTGAATTTTAGATGCTTCTGTAAAGAACCAATGTCTGACTTTAGTAATAGACAGTAAGGATATCAGAAACAAGTGCAGAGTAGTGAGTTTCTTTAACTCTTCGTAGGGTTCCGTTTGCTATTGCAAGTTTCCATCGCAGGTCTTTACATTCAGCTGGATTTTGCTGGTCAAGCTTTCCTGTCTTTCAGCTGCTTTCAGCTACTGCGTCTGATGCTGATGAGAGTTCCCTGTGGAGGTCCTTTGGGTTTCTTTCTGGTTGATATAGTGGCCTGTGGAGCCTCTGAATCTGTAGCCACTTCTCAAGATTGGATGTCAAAGAAAGTAGTCACCTATCCTCTGAAAAGCGTCTGTCTTTTCTCCATGGGCTCTTTTTTCAGTCTCCTTTGAAATACTTTCTTTTGTAGTATATTGGTCATAATTATCGTGATTAGGTTTATGGTTTTTTCCCCTCTATTTTTATTAGTACGTTTGTAGTTCATGATGATTACACTATAGAGACTTGGTACATGTACACAACACATCTTAATTCTTTTTCCATTCCCTTCCCCTTTCTTCTGTTTTTTGCTATTTCCAGATTTCCTTCTCGTTTGAGAAAGATCTCCCTTCTTCCTGTTATGTACCTTTTATTTTGCTCTTTATTTATATTTTGGGTTTTTCGCAAAAGAGAAATCATGTGTTATTTACGCTTGTGTCTGATTTATTTCACTTAACATTATGGTTTCAAATGGTGATACATCTTTGACTGTAAACTTATGTCAATGAGCAGCTGAATAAAACCAAACTACATTGAGGTTCACTAGTACAGCTAAGTGTAGATAATCTGTATGTTTTTATTTTTATTTATTTATTTATCGGTGCTGGGGATCAAACTCATGACCTCATGTTTGCCAGGAAGGCACTTATGCTGCTAACCTAAATCCCCAGCCCATTTTATTACCCATACAAAACCAGATCATATTTAAAAACTTTAAAAGTTTATTGTGCATACAAAAGAATAGTTTTGTATAAGTAATGAGAAGCAATCTACCAGGAAGGACAGAAAAACTGGCTGAGAGACCTAACCCAAATGAAGGGTTCACCCTGTAACTGAAAGCATGTTCCCTCAAGGAAACAACAGTTCTGCTGTGATACTTCCATACTTCATAAATGTTTGAAATTTTTAGAATTTTTATGTTTTTGAAATTTTTATAATTAAAATAATAAAACACTTAAGACAGTAGCTAGGGCCAGGGATTTAGCTCAGTGGCATAAGCACCTGCCTGGCAAGTGTGAGGTCATGAGTTCAATCCCCAGTACCAAAAAACAAAAACAAAAACAGTAGCTAAACAAAAATTTCATTAACAAGCAAAAAGATAAACCAAGCGGGGAAACAGATTTCTCTGAGATCTTTCTATTCTGAATATTCTAGGATCTCAAAAACACATCAGAAATCCCTTCACTATCAGCTCATTTTTTTAGTGTGTTGGGGGTAACCAAGGTTCAAACTCATGACCTTCTGCTTGCCAGGCAGGCGCTTGTGCTGGTGAGCTAAATCCCCAGCCACCTCTACTGTCAGTCCTAAAGAACAAGAACAACAACAACAACAAACCAGTGCTGGGGGATCCCCACTCTGAAGCCTCCACAGATACCAGCACACAGAACACTTCGATTATGTGATAAGGACTTGGAAGTGAAGGTCACTTTTTAACAGATCTCCAGCAAATACGTTAAATAAAACAAGGTGTTCATAGTTTTAAAATAAGGTCTCTCACACACACACACACATTTGAACAACTACTACTTATCTCTGGCGTTCTCTTGGCAGCGTCAAGTTTCTACCTAAGTTCTAAAGGGGCTGGAGCATCTCACAGTATCTTGATGGTGCAGGCACTTGTACCCACATGATTAGGGTTATAAATTTTTTTTCCTTATAGTGCTAAGAATGGAAGCCAGGCCCTTGGACATGCTAGGCAAGTAATCTATCACTGAGCCACATCCTCAGCCTGGACTAATAAATACTTAATATTCATGAAGTACTCACTATGTATAAGCTTTAGGCTGTATACTTTATAGGCACTATTTCATTTATAACTCACAACAACTGTGTTGTACGGGGGGAAATTGAGACAGAGAAATGTTAGGTGATATACTCACGCTTAAGGGGATAAAAACAGGATGTGAACCTAACTCCTAGGCCTGTTCTCTCACCACTAAGCATGTATACTCAAATGAGTTTTCTGCACCAGACTGGTTTTCTCTGCTTCCCATATCTGAAAATAATATAGTGAAAAAAATCATA